GGGAAGTACTTAGCATACGACTCTGGATAAATGAGACTTGGATTACACTGCACAAGTTGTGTGAAAGTAAATGTATGGTTTGATGTAGTTTTGTTGTTGTTAAACACGGACGGTGAAGTGCTCCTTTAAAACAGAGGACATGAGTAAAGACAGTGGCTGTTTGAATGTTCACCAGTTCTGTCTCTGTTCTCCAGATTCGGGAGAGCGTGGCACAGGAGGTCCGACAGGAGATCTACAGCGAGCTGCTCGCTGCCGTGTCGCCACGGCGATCGCCCCTGCCTGGCAGGCAGCACCCCCTGTAGTCATGGCGACAGCAGAGCACCGCCCACTTTCACCTTCAGCCTTCACGACCACAGCCTGAGAGCAACACTGTCTGTCTGTAACACTGTATAGCTGAGTAACACTGTCTGTGTGGAACACTATGCGTCTGTAACACTGTATGTCTGTAACACTGATGACGGATTGAGCACATCGCCCGCATGTGATAAACTCAGACGGGACGCAGAGCGCGGCAAGGACGCTTGTGTGTCTGTTTGCCAGTGTGATGCATGCTGGGAACACCAGTCTGGACCTGTGAACGATCAGCGATGTTGCGTCATCTTTTCCTGTTTTGTTTTTCTAAGCTGTTTTGATCAAAGTCAGGCCTCAAACTATTTTCACTGCCACTAATACTACCAAGTACGACAAGTACTACGAGTGGTGCTGCTAACAGTGCTCTGCCAGTACCAGCACTATGAGTCCCAGTCCTGTGAATGTACCCATCACGTTCTTTTGCCCACAGTCCCAGTCTGAGATCAGATCAGTCCGTCCTGATAAGAATAAGAACAAATAATCAGTAGCTTGTGACCTAAAACATTTATTCATTTGGTTGTTTGGCTGAATTGAGCCTTTAACATGTTGTCAGCATCACACAGGGGACCAACTTCCTTTAATTATACTGTAAGTGCCTTAATAATCTTTCATCTGAGCTCTTGTGCCTTTTTAGTTTGGGGGCTACATTCCTTCATCTTTAATAAGATTTCTCTGAGTCTGTCAAACTTTAACGCCTTAAAGTTACTCATTCCATGCGCATTTCACCTTCATGTAAAACATTTAAAGAGGTCTTAAAATATACAATTAAGGGATCATGATCCTTCAGCTATCCACATTCTTTCATCATCATCTTCATCACCATCATCATTGTCATTGTGCATCTGTTCCTCACGCCTCATTCACAGTTAAATCCACTGGTTAATGTTTTTTTCTTTGTGCTAAGCTGAACTGAAAGGATTTTACAAAACGCTGGACTGTCCCTTTAAAGGCCCAGACAAACGACACCGACATCAGAGAACTCGTGGCAACAAAAGCTGACTGTTGAGTTGTCTTATGTCGCCTGTGTGTCGGTCAAAAAGTTGCACATGATATGTTATACAGATGTTATACATCTGCGTGACAGGAAATAACATTCCACATCAGCAGGCAGCAATAGACCCATTTTGCGTTTGTAAATGTGATGACGTATTTTGTGGGCGGAGCCGAACTGGTGGCAGAAAGGGACAGTAGTTGTGTCGGTGTGAGCGCCAAGTAAAAAAGCAATATATCGTTTATATTTCTTAACATGAGTTTATGATGTATGTGTAGTGGAAAAAAGTTTTGTCTCCAGTTAATTAGGATCTTGATATTTAGGCTAATCACTGCTCAATGCTCAGTAGAGGAGGTTGCGTTCGGATTATTTGGATTATTTAATTATTTACGTGGTGAAAGATAAATCGTCATAAGAGCTGTAAAAACTCTCATTTGTCACGCATGAATTTGACTTATTGTCCTTGATTAATAGTTGTGGAGACGTCCCCACGTAATATGATTTAGTACAACTTATGACTATGCTAACGCACTAGCTAGCTAACACTGTCTGCTTATTAAAACCTTAATCATATCTAAATATATTAACTTTCACCACTGCTCTCTTTAGAAAGGCCACCGCAAGAAAACACGTTCTTAGTTTATGTTAAAGTCTAGCCAATAATGTACATTTAGATTGCTTCATCTGCGTCCAGGCAGGGAAAGTGAAATGACCCTAACATTAGCGATGTAGCTAACGTAGCTAGCATGCTACCGTTGGCTAATCGCTGACAGCTTGAAACAAGTGATGATTAATTTTCTGTTTTTTAATCTAGACAAAGAACGTGTTTTCTTGTGGTGTCCTTTCTATGTGACCGCTGGTGAAAGTTACAGTATTCTGGAGTTAATAAGCAGACGGCGTTAGCTAGCTAGTTGAAAAGTTGTCTACTGTTACTATTAGCCAAATCCATGCTAGCCAAATGTGACTTTTTACAATTTATAATGATGATGAATTATCTTTCACCCCATCAGTTATTCTGTTCATGTAAGCCTCCATGGACTATTCAGCAGCGATTATATCCTGAATATCGAGATTATAATTAACTGGAGACAAAACTTTTACTAGACATTTTTATTTCGGGTATGTCAGCTGTTTCTCTCCGATGTCCACTGTTTTTTTGCCACCAGTATGCGCACGCAACTGCCTTGACGTGACCGTGACGTCCAGTCAACATTGGTCCATAGTCTTTAATTGTTGTTCGAAAAGGGCAACCGGGAAACTGTCAGAATAGATTCGAGACAGTTGTCAGCCAGTTAGCATATGAACAACACAGGCCAATGTCAATAGAACAAATGATAGTTACTGTGTGCTAGCAAACAATAACACAAACAATTACAAAACATTTTTTCCACATAAAAGCCAACAAGGGCCAGCGGTGCAAGACACACTGCAAAAACTACGGCAACAGATGCCCGCTGATGGCTCAACATCGACCAATGTCCAACTGTCGGCGTCATGTGTCGGGGCCTTTAAACCTACAGTCTTTGCTTTGTGTGTTGGTTGTTACTGAGCAGGTGATTCGATTCGTGTGATGTCATGAGGTACTGTGGAGGTCAAAGGTTACTCCGCAGCAGCAGCAGGTTTCAGTAAGTTGTCATGGTGACAGTGATGGTGATGATGTCGATAATGATGCAATCCCCGGTGTGAGGGAGGAGCTTAGCGAGCACATCTGAGCTGAGTTAGCCTCGTTAGCATGTTAGCTTCCCACTGTCCAACGACAAATCTGTGTGCAATAATAATATGAATATATTGATTATGTATTGATTACTGACACTATCAGTAAGTCACTGCTAACATTTCAGGTCATCCTGCACCACTTCAGCACAAACTGTCTACCTGCACATTGGATACAAACTAATCTGCAGCCGGTTTTCTGTCGAGAGAAACTCTGATTTTCCTGCTTTTTGCACAGAATCCACAGAAATAATTGATTATTGAACAATTGATTACTAATTATTGACCAACCTAATTAATGAGCATCCATTTTTTTGAGCTCTTAAGCCTGTGTGGAGTGTCTCTGTGGTCCCTCGATGGTTTTCAGATGAACAGTCACATCTGAAAACTTTGGGAGTCTCTGAGGTGACATGAGCACTCTGCACCCACCATCGCTGAGTGTGATTGACCTGTCAATCAATGCAGACATGCTCCTAAATACCTCTTCTTCTTCTTCTTTTTTTTTTTTTAAATCTTCGTAGAACAATGAGTCTTAAATCTTCCTCACAGACTCAAATTAGAATTTCAATATCTACTGAAAGCTGAACTTTTGGAAACAATTTATTAACTTCTTGTTTTTGTGGATGTTCATTTGTGATGTTTAGGAGCAGTACATGGTGAAGAGAATCTGAGTTGTATTAAAAGCTCTAAATCATTATTAACCTTTGACCTTTTGATTCTCTTCACCATTTATTGACGTTGTTTGTTTCAACTTTTTTATTTTTAATGTTCACTGATCACAAACTTTGCTCTGCTGGACCAACACTCACTGTGAGCTCCGAGGCTCTACGTGCTTTTATTTTTATTTTTTATTTTTAACTGATCAAGAAAAGAAAAATTCCTCACACACTTCTAATTACAGTTCACTGTCTGTCTGTTGGTGTCTATTAATTTCTATTGATGTCTATTAATGATGTGTATTTTGTATTGATGTCTTGTCGGCGGGGTGCAGGGGAGGGATCACTCTGTAGAGATGAGAATAATAAAGATGTATTTATTTTCAGTACACACGAGTGCTGCTTCACTTCTGTGGGACTGTGTTTCCTGCCTCAAAGCTCAGAGCTCAGATCTGTCAGAACAGAACATAAAGAAAAGTTACGAAAGTAAGTAAAGTATTTAATTACAGAAGCACTTATACCTAACTTGAGTGCTTAAATTTTAATTATTTTTTATTTATTTATTTTTATTTTTTTTATTTTAATTTCTGTATTATAGTTCCACTCCTCAGCATCTCAATTTGAAACACTGTCCTTTTTACTCCACTATGTTAATGTGACAGCCATGGCCAATATTTCTATGTTAATATTTTACATACAGAACTAATAGCAAGCTTATGAGATATGAAGAAAATAGAAATAAGCATGCCATAAAAAAATGTGTTAATATATAACAATATATACATATAAATAAAATAAAAATCTAAGAAAATATAAACATAAGAAAGATTTGTTGTATAAGGTAATGTGATAATGCATGAGCGCTTAAAGTACAAAAAACACGTTGGAGGAGATCATCCTACTCACCACTAGGCGGCGACTCTGACAGCCGCTCCATTAAAGCCTACCGGCTATTATTTTGAAAGCCGGAAGTCTACCATGACCCGGAAGTAATATGTTTCATTGGAGGAAGTTTTCCGCCACAAGAACGACACTGATTTTACGGGGGGATTGAGACAAAACGAGAAGAGGACGCTTAAAACCAAAGAAAACAAAGTAAGAATACTTTATTTAAAGACGTTAAAGAAAATTCTGGAGGTTTTAACAACGGACTAGCCAGTAACTAGCATCTTAGCTAACTAGCCGGAGCTATGATGGGCTTAGCCGACGAGCTAACATTAGCTCATCCAAACACACATGGCGACAAAACTGACAACCGTTGACGATAATTTGAAGTTATAGATGATATCGTTGTTTTAATAACTCGTCCAAATGACTTGGCGCACAGACATATGCATTTTATTTTACTGTGAGTTATATTCTGTAGGAGATTGGTCACTTCACACAGTATTAGCTGTTGCTGTACGTCAGCTGAACTTCATTAACAGAGAGCTGTTGATTTTTTACCTTAAACTCATGTACACTGTCTTTAAAGGGTCAGTTAACCCAAGCAATGTAACAGGGAGTATTTTTTTATAATATATAAATAAAATAAATGGAACAAGTTACAAGAGGTATTGAAATTAGACAGGTATGTGTCGTTAGATAATTTCAAGTGTATATTAGGTGATATGGTTGTTTTACAGTGACCCTGCTTTGGTTAATTGACAGAGATGATTTTCTACATGTTACAGGTTTTATTATTTAACCTTTTTCGTCTTTTTACAGTTTTTTATTATTATAGTCAGTGCTGCTTCTTAGTTGTTATTATGGACTTTTTTCATCACTGTATTGCTTTTGCTGTTATATATTTGTATCCCTATAGCCCACTGAGTATGAACTCTAGGCATTGATGTAAAAAAGCTTAATGCTTAGTCAGTTTTCCCCGACTCAACAATGGTTTGATTGATTGATTATTTCAGTAATCAGTAAGCCAACCGACAGGATAAAAAAAATCATGAACCATTTTTATGATCATGCAGTTCAAAACACCAGTATTTTGATGATACCAGCATCTTAAATGTGAAGATTTGGTGCTTCCCTTGTATATTATAGTAAACTGGTTAATATCAAGTTTTGGACTGTTGCTGGGCCAATAAAAAATTAATTTGAAGACATACTCTTGGATTCAAGCAATAGTTGCAGTGATATACCAGTTTAAAGGTATACTGTGATGGTAAAAGATGATGGTTTTCTTACCAAGTACATGTGCTTATCTACGATATTAACTGGACATTGAATCTCCGCTTTATTTTAGTTATTTTCAAAGGAGAGACTTTTAACACATACTTTAATTTACACAATGGCTTCAGGGTTCAATTATAGTAATAAAATGTTAGTTCAACCTAAAAAATCCTCCATTTTCATTCTTTTAGGTCATTCTGACTAATAATATAAATTCTTTAATACCATGATACCATGAAACTGCACTATTTTCTGAGACGGTAATCACACTTTGAAATCTCATACTGTTGCAACCCTAATTTAAGCAAATTGGCAAAGGGGCATTTGCCATTTTCACTGCTTTCCAATGTTTTATAAACTGACAGCTCAGTGATTATTCGAGAAAACAATCTGTACATAATTGATTATAAAAATGTGTGATGTTTTGAGCCCTTCTTCCCACAGTCAGTGTCCTGTGCCCTTTTCTGCTCACATAAACAACCGAGTTGGTGTGACTTTTCTTGGCTGGCTTAGAGTTTGTCTGAAGTCGATTGTTGTCAGAGCAAAATGTCTTTAAAATGATCCCTCAAAAATTAAGCTATTCACAGTCAGCTGGATCTTGACCAAGACCTTTTAAATGCAGAAACTGTCAAGATTCTGTGTGGCACTTGAAATAGTTTCCAAAGAGATGCACTACTTCTTCCTGTTGTAACATTTGATAGAAACCACAGTGGCTGCTGTTTTAAGGAAATTACTCAACAGGGTTTTCAAAATGAAACAATACATTTGTGAGGCTTTTTTTTTTTTTTAAGATTTAGACCTTTTGTATGGACCAGTAGGTTTGGAGCTGAGATCCAAAGACAGAGAATAGAGAAGTCAGAAAGTATTGAGAAATGGGTTAAAACACGTTTTTCGTCTTTTTGTGCGATGATAATTTGACATTTGTAAAATATTATCGCTTTGTTCAGTAACCGAATCTTTCTGCTTTTCTGTACGAGTTGATCCGTGATGACTGTTACAATATTTGTTTGTTATCATCATAAATGTGTATGTGTGTCTTTGAGGTATGGACTCTCCAGACAGAAGTCCAAGTCCTCCGCAAAAAGAACAAAGTGGTGAGTAAAACGTCCCATGACAATTTTATGTTGTTGTTGTAGTAACAGTAGCAGTTGTAGTTGTTATAGATGTAGTATATTTATCTGATAAGGCTGCTCTCTGTCTTCAGGACCTTCGGAAGATGAGTCCACTTCAGCAGAGAAGCCCCAAGAGGCTGACTCGGCCGAGAAAAGTCCCAAAGAGAGGTCTCCTCAGGCCAGTCCTGCAGATCGTTCCCCCTCCAGGAGTCCTGCCTCCAGCAGCTCAGACGACAGCAGCAGCAGTGATGATGATGAAGAACATCAGGGGGCACTGAGGAAGTTAAGGAGCAGTGTGGCTCAGATCAAAGTAAGCAAGAACGTATGTGGATGATTTTAATGGCATGTCGTGTTTACATGCAACGTGGTGTTGTCACGATGCTGGAATTTCTAGCTTAGGGTGTTTTCACATGTAGTCCTTTTTAAATAAACCAAACTCAGTCCTCTTAAAGCGCACCGTGGAGTTGAAGTGAGCTGAAGGTGGTCTGAGTTTGAGTTTTCAATATCGGTAGGAAAAAATGCATTGAGGGCATAAAATTTTAAATTTTTATTTAAAAGCTAACTGTAACAAGGCCATAACATGACATGTTTGTAACAGTGGCTAAGCTACCGACTCCCCAAATCGATATTTTTGGTAACACTGATGCACCAATTGCTCTGGACGTCTTGCACATGTTAAGGTCCTTGAAACAAGATTAGTCTGGTGTCTACAATCAGCTTCAGGGGTTAGAAAAATGGAAGGAGACACTTACACTTAAGCATCTTCCGGAATAAAATCTCTGAAAGGCAAAATGTTGCTGTGACAAGAAATGTCATGTGTAGTAACATTCAAGGCTCGGCACCAATTTCCTGCTCAGATTTTGAGTCACAAAGTCCACAATACATATGTTGCATCAAGTGCGTTTCAGAATTTATTCATCCATGTATTTTCTGCTGCATCTCTGCTGAGCCTCTCAGTGCTGACTTGGTGTAATCTTTACCCTCGTCCCGACCTCAGCAGGGAGAAAAGGCCTTTAATGGGATCTTTAATGACTCTCCTGGTCTTATCCTTGGTACAAACATCCTTTAGAGCAGTGCCTATTGTATGTTCAGCTGAACAAACCTGCAAGGTGATCCGAGGCCAGTTAGATGAGGTATATAATCTCTCTAGCGTGTTCTGGGTCTCCTGCCAGTTACATGAGAATTTATCCTAGGAGCTTAAATTTACAGGCTAAATTGTGAACACATTTGCGGGGAATAAAGCTGTGGGCCAAGGATTTATTTTCGTTTATGCAACATGGCTAAAAACTGACACACCTGTAGTTTTTCGGCTCACTTGTGCAGAACAGTGAGCAAGAAAAATAAAGGACTGCAACCCTGGCAGGTAGAAGAGAAGGAGTCTGCGCGTCACAAAGTGTGCTTCGCTTTTTATAGGCTCTCTTTAAAATATCTGGCCTCACTCAAAAAAACATTTTGTGATTGTGGATAACTGGCTTTGCAAGTTTGCCTGGTCTGCAGTGTTAGTTTCCATGGCAACGGAGCATGGTGGAGACGGAGTAGCCAGGGTAAAAGTTAGCTGGCCTGCTCCATGAAACAGACCATTGACCAGATAAGAAGCATCTCGACTGAATAAAGATGCAGCTTGTTTGATTGACAGAGTCACAGATAGAAGAGAACTGTGTGTCCATTACTGTCATCGTAGACGTGGACTCCCGGGGTGCCTACGAGCTTTTACTTAAAGTAGAAACTGACAGACTGACTCCAGTAGCTCCTGTGTTCTCTCTCTTCTTCAGCCAAACTCAGGCTTTTAAAAATGGCAGCATGTTGATCCAGTTTTCTCTGAGGAGTTCACCTTGAAGTCCGTCGTTCATGGACGATCAGATCCTTTTGACATGACCGAGGTCTGCTAGAAATACTGCTGACATGCTTTGTTTCCTTGTTGTCCAGAGATCAAGATCCAAGTCCAGGTCCAGGGAGCGAGACAGATCAATATCCAGAGAAAACGACAAATCGAGGTCCAGAGAGCGAGACAGATCGAGATCAAGATCCAGATCCAGAGAGAGAGACCGATCAAGGTCCAGAGGACGCGACAGGTCCAGGTCCAGAGAGCGGGACAGGTCCAGGTCCAGGTCCAGAGAGCGGGACAGGTCCAGGTCAAGAGGTCGAGACCGATCAAGGTCCAGAGAGAGAGACCGAGACCGTGGACGCTATGACAGAGGACGCTATACAAGGTAACGGACAGAAACACACAACAACAACTTCATTTCCAGATTCTGTTCAGCAAATAAATTATTCCCAGAAACATAATTTTTGTTTGGTCTTTCTGCTTTGCCCAGGGATCGCTATGACGATCGCCGTGACGACAGGGATGGTCGTTTTGACCGGCGGACCAATAGAGATGCAGAGTCGGATTACAGGAGGCGAGGACGCTCAGGCTCCCCAACAGCAGACAAAGATCCAGCGGCAGCAGAGGAGCCGCCTGTCAAGAAGAAGAAGGAGGAGCTCGACCCGATCTTGACGAGGACGGGCGGAGCTTACATCCCCCCTGCCAAGCTGCGCATGATGCAGGCGCAAATTACTGACAAGACCAGGTAAGACTGTTTATTATTATTTCCTTTTTATAGACGTCAGGATTAGGTCTTTTTCATTACCTCATTAATAACACTGTTATCTTTTGGTAAAAGTTGAGTAAGCATTGTTTGAACAGTTGAACGTGGGGCATTCAAGGACACTCTGACATATTTGTGCGTTGGCTCTGATGAGCTCTGTCAGAAAATGAAACCCTGAGATGTGTTACTGTATCTCGACTGTTGAAACGACTATATATAATCTGTGTGTGTGTGTGTGTGTGTGCAGCCTGGCCTATCAGAGGATGAGCTGGGAGGCCCTGAAGAAGTCCATCAACGGTCTGATCAACAAAGTCAACGTGTCGAACATCGTCCACATCATCCAGGAGCTGCTGCAGGAGAACATCGTCAGGGGGAGGTAGGAGATGACACAAACCAAAAAACAGCTTCACATTAACCCTCAGTATTCACTTCTAAACATCTTTAACAGCCAAAGTGGCGTTTCTTGGGAGCTACGTACAAAAGATCACATCACAAAAAGAAAAAGATAAAACTTACAGATCCATGTGAAACCCGTACAGTGCAATAAGAAGCAGTCAGGTATCCATCAACTATCAAGTCTCTCCTCTTTGTCCCAGTTTGTCTCTGACTTCTCCTCTGTCTGACTACCTGTCTGTCTCTCAGGGGTCTGCTGGCTCGCTCGGTGCTACAGGCTCAGGCGGCATCTCCGATCTTTACTCACGTTTACTCAGCCGTTGTCGCCATCATCAACTCCAAGTTTCCTCAGATTGGAGAGCTGATCCTCAAACGCCTCATCCTGGCCTTCAGGAGGAGCTACCGCCGCAACCTCAAGGTACCTGTCTGTCTCTCTGACTGTCTGTCTTTCTGTTGCTGTTGATTAGAGGATCAACAGAAATTTTCTGGATCAATTTACAAGTGCCAAAAATAAATTTTGGTAGTAACGTTGGTTAATAATGTAATACTGATGAAATGAAAATGGTGGAACTTAACCAAAAGAGCACAGTGCAGCACCAACTCAAGCTAATGTCTACACTGTCTGTTCATTAGCTGTTTTAGATTTGGAGATGTGGGAGATTTGTTTTTACAAAAGTATAAAATAGAATATACAATCTTCAGGTATACATTCACGCTCCATCCAGCATCCGAGCTCACAACAATGTCAGTGAGGCAGTTTGTGACAAAGAGAAACTCAGGCGGAAACATTTGCTCAAGTAAGTTAGTTTATGTTCAGTCTGAAGACACCTTCAAATTTAAATTGGCTGTAACAAGTCTGAGAGCCTTTTTTTACAGCTTTATCTGCAGTCGTATTTGTGATGTATTAAAACCAGTTTGGGCGGCACGGTGGTGTGGAGGTTAGCACTGTCACCTCACAGCAAGAGGGTTGCCGGTTCGATCGCGGGCGTGGGAGCCCTTCTGTGCGGAGTTTGCATGTTCTCCCCATGTCAGTGTGGGTTCTCTCCGGGCACTCCGGCTTCCTCCCACAGTCCAAAGACATGCAGATTGGGGACTAGGTTAATTGATCATTCTAAATTGTCCGTAGGTGTGAATGTGAGCGTGAATGGTTGTTTGTCTCTATGTGTCAGCCCTGCGACAGTCTGGCGACCTGTCAAGGGTGTACCCTGCCTCTCGCCCGATGTCAGCTGGGATAGGCTCCAGCCCCCCGCCACCCTCAAGAGGATGAAGCAGTTAGAAGATGAATGAATGAATGAATGAAAACCAGTTTGTCTTTTGTTTTCCAGCAACAGTGCCTGACAGCCTCCAAGTTTGTGGCCCATCTCATCAACCAGAACGTGGTAGGTCCTGCAGTCTGGCTTTAGTATTAACAGAAGAGTTTAATGATGATATTCAGCTCTAATGAAGTTCGTTTTCTTCGCTATGTCTGCTCCGGTGTGTCTCTCACCCTCAGGCACACGAGGTCTTGTGTCTGGAGATGCTCACTCTGCTGCTGGAGCGTCCGACTGACGACAGCGTGGAGGTCGCCATCGCCTTCCTGAAGGAGTGTGGACTCAAACTGACCGAGGTGTCCCCGCGAGGAATCAACGGTAGCTACAACTCTTAACTCATTTGAGCTCATGATGATCGGTTAATCAATTAAGCCAATTATCACAGACAAAAAGGTAAAAAGTCAACAAGCAAAAAACAAAACAAAAAAATCCCAAATATCAGAAAAATGCCTACAAATTCTGCTGGTTTCTTTTTCCAGCCATATTTGAGCGTCTCAGGAATGTCCTCCACGAGTCGGCCATTGATAAGAGGGTCCAGTACATGATCGAGGTGATGTTCGCCATCAGGAAAGACGGTTTCAAAGATCATCCAGTGATCCCAGAGGGGCTGGACCTGGTGGACGAGGAGGACCAGTTCACCCACATGCTGCCACTGGACGACGAGTACAACCCAGAGGACATCCTCAGTAAGACCCGGAGGAGGAGACAGCATTTTACAGGACTCTCTGTAAAGATAAGTGTGAGTATGTAGCACTAACATGTGTGTCTGTGTTCACTTAGACGTGTTCAAGATGGACCCAGACTTCCAGGAGAACGAGGAGAAATACAAAACCATCAAAAGAGATATCCTGGACGAGGGCAGCAGCGACTCGGGGGAGGAGGGCGATGGCAGTGACGAAGATGAAGACGATGAAGAAGAGAATGCAGAAGAGGGAGAAGGTGAGACAGATGAATCGACGACCAGAACAGACAGTTTTCTTCCCTGTCAAATTAAAGGGTTATTCCACTGATTTTTACTACTCAGCCTGTGGAAGCAGTTGTGTCATGCTGGGAGGCCCTGAAGAAGTCCATCATTTTAGTATAAGTTTTAGTTTTAGTTTAGTTTGTTTTTGTTTAAGTACACGTTTTAGGTTTAGATTTAGTTTTAGTTTATTTTTAACTTTTTAACTTTTTAAGTATTTTTAAGTTTTTAAGTTAAGTCTTGGCTCTGAAGGCAACAAACTCTGGCTACATGCACAACTAAATCCCAATAATTAAAATATCAGAAAACAGTTCGCCACAAAACTCTAGCCTCTTGTTTTTTGACTTGACAGTTTTTGATTTTGAGACGGAGCAGGGCCAACTGTTTGCACCTATTTCTCGTCTTCATGCTAAACAAAGCTAACAAGCTGCTTCCTTTAATTTCATATTTATCACACAGACATAAGAGTGGTATTGATCTTCTCATCCAAGTCTTGGCAAGAAAGAGAACGAGCATAAGTATCTAAAATTGTTCTGTCTCTAACAAGTCCCCCAGCTTTATGGAAGTGTAACATTAAATCACTGAAATACTAAATGCAAATAAAATTAGTCAAATATTCTCTAAAGAGATTCCATAAATGAAACAGAAACTGAGGTGAATTCCAGGTTGGAGGTGGAGGATTAAAGAACAACTCACTGACCATGTTGGCTGTCTGATATTCTGATATTATAATCTCATATTAATCATCATTTCCATATTCTGGTAAGATTTTTTAACTTTAAATATTCCCTCTCTCTCACAGATGAGAAGGTCACAATCTTTGATCAGACAGAAGTCAACCTGGTTGCTTTCAGAAGAACCATCTACCTCGCTATCCAGTCCAGGTACACACACACTCACACACTCTTAAAACACACTCATACAGTCAGTGACTCAGTTGTCTCTCAGGGTGTTGGCAGTTATTTACAGCTTCTTCTATATTTGATGGACTTGGACTAATATTTAAAGCTGTGTTAAAAGCTTTCTGTGAGTGTGCTCGTGCGTGTGTGTGTGCGCGTGCGTGCAGCCTAGTTGCCATGGTTTCATTGTAGAGCAGCTCACAGGTTTGGAAAACAGGATAAAACACTGTAACAGATTGAGAAAATAACACACAAACAGGAACACACACACACACACACCTGAGCTCACGGCTGTGCACTTACCGACTGATTTATTGATTGATTGTTTCTGTAGTTTGGACTTCGAGGAGTGCGCTCACAAACTGATCAAGATGGACTTTCCTGACAGCCAGACGGTGAGTCTGCACTGACACACACACACAGACACACACACCCACACTCTTGGCAGATTTAAAAGGCTTCACTGATACGCACACACTCGACTGGGAATAAATGTGAAAACTTGTCTTTTTCTCTCAGTGTCTCCTCTGAGGATAAATCTGAAAATTCTCTGTAGCTTAGATAAATAAAACAAGCTGACACTCAGTAAACAGTGTTTGTTAACCAGAAGCAGTGGCGTCCCCAAAGAGGGGGTCCAGGGGGGGAACTGACCACCCTGATACAATTGCTGCCCCCCCACCCACCCCAAACTGCGTACCCTGGTAAAAATAATTCAAGGCTGAAAATTACTGCATTTAAGAGGCTGTGACATGCTCATTTTCGAAGCTAAAGCGTAGGTAGTGGTATTTTGTGAAACTAGCCAGCCTAAGGCAGCCACTGGCACCAGCTTTGTCAGCACAGCCTGTAAGGGGCTGAATAACGCTCCAAACAGAGGCTACATTTTGGCCATTCTCAAAAGGGTCCCTTTAACTCTCACCTCAAGATATCTGGATGAAAATGGCTTCTACTGGTCCTCACTATAGACTTTATAGAATGATTGACGTAGCTACCATGACGTCACCCGTTTGTTTGTGGACTGCTTTGTCTAGTCTAGCTAACAGATAAGTAATTTTAAAAAAAAACACTCCCTGTACATTTTTCATCAATGCTGAAATTAGTTTAAGAGACCAAAACTGTTTTTTGTACCAGGCTGTAAACATGATTTTTTTTCTGCTGTTAAAGTTGGACATTTTAACATGGGGGTCTATGGGGAGTGACTCACTTTTGGAGCCAGCCTTAAATGTCCATTAGAGGAACTGCAGTTTTTGGCACTTCAAGGTGGCTTCATTTTTCAGCCTCGGAGGTTGTCACTTGGTACCCCCATGAGTCTCCTCTAAACTTGAGAAGGCTTGTGCCTCCAGTAAATGTTTTGTTCCTTTCAGTGAATATACTCCTTCAGATTAAAGCTGTATCTTTGTCTTTTTAAGGAAAAGGACACCCAGTCTGTTAAAGAATGAGTCACTGAACATGTACAGATACAAAACACATTAAAACGGGATTGTTGTAGAACTCTAAATGCTGACTCTACCAGTATTAGTCTGTGCACATCAGATAATTAGTAATAATAACTGTAAAATAAGAAACCGAAGTATATCAGTGTGTGATTCCTTAATTCACATATTGTCATAGTTTTCAAATAGCCTATTTACTTCGACAGCATCAGTGAATTCTGAAATTTAGTCATGACTTTGGGTTTTGGTGTGCCACCTAAGATTTTGAGTGGTCACCCCTATCAGGGCACATCTGACTAGAAATACATGACAGTAGCGGAATGTGAAATCCAGAGCTGAAACAACTAGGCGATCGATCAAGAAAATTAATTGGCAACAATTTTGACTCTCAATTAGTCATTTAAACCTCATTTATGCCCCTTTCTCTTACACTGCCGACCAGAAGGTGACGCTGATGAACAATTTCACTTTTTGATCACTAAAGATGAAAGAGAGTGTAAACACGCTGCCTTCATGTCTGTTGTCTGTTAATAGCTCCGTGCGTGTGTGTGGCCCTGAGGCCAGGTTGTGTAACAGTAATGGTTGTTTTCAGACGTTGACAGTTGCGGGTCAGCTTTGTGTGTGTGTGTGTGTGTGTGTGTGTGTGTGTGTGTGTGACAGAGATGGATAAAAAGCGTCATTTGTCTGAGGACAGTTAGTATGGGTATGCGTTTGTGTGTGTTGCTTGTATCTTTGTGAGGACCAGTGTGTGTGTTTGACCTTCACACTGATGACTCCTCGACACCTCTTCAGACAGAAGCAGCGACTCATTTCTGGCCTTTTGTATTCAACTGTAATATGCCGACTACTGTTAATTAAACTCTGTGAACTTCAACCTAAAAGCGAGGCGTCACATCTGTAGCATCATGACGTCATCATCTGTTCATGTCTATAATTTTTACACAGTGGGCAAAGTGATGTTATCGTCATGAATCGTAAATGTATCTGAATCTGAAGCCACAGAGAACGTGAGAGGAAACACCTGCTGTGCACAGCAGAGATACGACAGTCCTCACGAGAATACTGAAACGACCTCTGTGTGAGGGAGAGGTCAGAGCTGATGACCCTGTCAGCCAGAGTTTCATCAGCATCAGGACTGAATCATTTGACACAACAGCTGGAAACACAGAGATGCTCGTCCTCTTGCAGCCTCAGTCTCACGCACACTTCACTGCCACACTGACTGAAGGACGTGTTCATGAAAGACAAAACACATTTCAGTTTAATCACAAAGTTTTACATCAAAATAAAAACTCGTCCTCGTCATCATCCACCTGAATATTACTATCTGATCTGCTGAAAGTGAGCTGTCTGAGTTTTGTCACGGTCATGTCCCGCTGCCACATTTTCTTTACACATTGTCAGTCAAACAGGGTCTGACACATGCAAAAAAGGCAGAAAATCAAACCTGGTCCAAAACTTTTTATGATGGACGAAAGTTTTGGACTCAGTGTGCAAACGTGATTTACACACCATGAGGTCGTGTGACAATTTCGTACGAAAAAAACGGACACAATGTGCAAAGTCTCTTAGTCAGATCCAGCCCTGGCTCCTCCACAGATCCACACTCGTCCAAATAGGGTCACTGAGTTCCCAAGTGTCACTGCTCAAACCAGATTTCTGTAACACATGGTTCATCACAAGTGCTTTATAAATTCGAACGAAATGGAGGACGGGCAGGAACTATAAATTACAAATGAAAGTACAAATTCAAGAAAATGGACCCAAACAAAGTTTTAAAATTATTTTCAACGTCTTCTTGTGTGTGGTACACATTAGTCTCCTATAAACAGGGAGGAGATACTTTATAATCTGCGGCCATTTCTAAGAACATCTAAACATACTCACATACTTTTAGGAAACACCTCTTGAGATTACAAAGGTTAAGAAAACATGTTTGTCTTCAAGATGTTTATGGGAGAGGGGCCCTATCAGTGTTTGAGTGTGTGTGTGTGTGTTATGAGAATGACACTGACATCACTGATATCTGAGGACGTGTCATTACAGCTGCTCTCTACACGTCACACACACACGGTCAAAACACGTCTTGAGTTGTTCTCCCTCAGACTGAGGGTGTAACCCACCTCTGGGATTTAGCTCCTGGCTGCTGCTCTCACATTCACATCATTTGAACTTTAACCCCGTTTAATACTGAGCTGATCACAGCTGGTCGAGACGCCTCAACATGAACAAAGCCATAAAGTGTTTTCAACATAAGAAGTCAGCCACATAGTATGATTAAAATATGAAGCCAACAGTTTATTAAACATGATGTGAACCTAATGTGTGATTTTTTTAATGTATGAATGTACTAATAAGATATTTGATGTCTGTGTGAACAGAAGGAGCTGTGTAATATGATCCTGGACTGCTGCGCTCAACAGAGGACCTACGAGAAGTTCTTTGGTCTGCTGGCCGGGGTGAGACAAAACAAAAATCTCTCTTCTCTCTTGTGGTTTCTATCAAGTCAGATGGGTTTTGGTTTTATGTATCCAGGTTTTGAGATATCTTTCTCTCAGATTTTTGCTTCCACATCGACACAAAGGAGGTGAATGAAAATTAGTTTGTGGTGCTCATTGTATGAAAAAAGCACACTAAGAAAATTCAGCAGCTCTTTGCAGATGCAGTTTCTCTGTTACTTCATTAGCACTATTTGGCACATTTGAGCGCTATAAAAAACACCGAAAACCATTGATTTTTTTTCCCCAATGGACCTTTTGTGAAGCCTCACCACTTTGTGATGGTCCAACAAACTGTCNGTTTGTTTTTGTTTAAGTACACGTTTTAGGTTTAGATTTAGTTTTAGTTTATTTTTAACTTTTTAACTTTTTAAGTATTTTTAAGTTTTTAAGTTAAGTCTTGGCTCTGAAGGCAACAAACTCTGGCTACATGCACAACTAAATCCCAATAATTAAAATATCAGAAAACAGTTCGCCACAAAACTCTAGCCTCTTGTTTTTTGACTTGACAGTTTTTGATTTTGAGACGGAGCAGGGCCAACTGTTTGCACCTATTTCTCGTCTTCATGCTAAACAAAGCTAACAAGCTGCTTCCTTTAATTTCATATTTATCACACAGACATAAGAGTGGTATTGATCTTCTCATCCAAGTCTTGGCAAGAAAGAGAACGAGCATAAGTATCTAAAATTGTTCTGTCTCTAACAAGTCCCCCAGCTTTATGGAAGTGTAACATTAAATCACTGAAATACTAAATGCAAATAAAATTAGTCAAATATTCTCTAAAGAGATTCCATAAATGAAACAGAAACTGAGGTGAATTCCAGGTTGGAGGTGGAGGATTAAAGAACAACTCACTGACCATGTTGGCTGTCTGATATTCTGATATTATAATCTCATATTAATCATCATTTCCATATTCTGGTAAGATTTTTTAACTTTAAATATTCCCTCTCTCTCACAGATGAGAAGGTCACAATCTTTGATCAGACAGAAGTCAACCTGGTTGCTTTCAGAAGAACCATCTACCTCGCTATCCAGTCCAGGTACACACACACTCACACACTCTTAAAACACACTCATACAGTCAGTGACTCAGTTGTCTCTCAGGGTGTTGGCAGTTATTTACAGCTTCTTCTATATTTGATGGACTTGGACTAATATTTAAAGCTGTGTTAAAAGCTTTCTGTGAGTGTGCTCGTGCGTGTGTGTGTGCGCGTGCGTGCAGCCTAGTTGCCATGGTTTCATTGTAGAGCAGCTCACAGGTTTGGAAAACAGGATAAAACACTGTAACAGATTGAGAAAATAACACACAAACAGGAACATACACACACACACCTGAGCTCACGGATGTGCACTTACCGACTGATTTATTGATTGATTGTTTCTGTAGTTTGGACTTCGAGGAGTGCGCTCACAAACTGATCAAGATGGACTTTCCTGACAGCCAGACGGTGAGTCTGCACTGACACACACACACAGACACACACACCCACACTCTTGGCAGATTTAAAAGGCTTCACTGATACGCACACACTCGACTGGGAATAAATGTGAAAACTTGTCTTTTTCTCTCAGTGTCTCCTCTGAGGATAAATCTGAAAATTCTCTGTAGCTTAGATAAATAAAACAAGCTGACACTCAGTAAACAGTGTTTGTTAACCAGAAGCAGTGGCGTCCCCAAAGAGGGGGTCCAGGGGGGGAACTGACCACCCTGATACAATTGCTGCCCCCCCACCCACCCCAAACTGCGTACCCTGGTAAAAATAATTCAAGGCTGAAAATTACTGCATTTAAGAGGCTGTGACATGCTCATTTTCGAAGCTAAAGCGTAGGTAGTGGTATTTTGTGAAACTAGCCAGCCTAAGGCAGCCACTGGCACCAGCTTTGTCAGCACAGCCTGTAAGGGGCTGAATAACGCTCCAAACAGAGGCTACATTTTGGCCATTCTCAAAAGGGTCCCTTTAACTCTCACCTCAAGATATCTGGATGAAAATGGCTTCTACTGGTCCTCACTATAGACTTTATAGAATGATTGACGTAGCTACCATGACGTCACCCGTTTGTTTGTGGACTGCTTTGTCTAGTCTAGCTAACAGATAAGTAATTTAAAAAAAAAACACTCCCTGTACATTTTTCATCAATGCTGAAATTAGTTTAAGAGACCAAAACTGTTTTTTGTACCAGGCTGTAAACATGATTTTTTTTCTGCTGTTAAAGTTGGACATTTTAACATGGGGGTCTATGGGGAGTGACTCACTTTTGGAGCCAGCCTTAAATGTCCATTAGAGGAACTGCAGTTTTTGGCACTTCAAGGTGGCTTCATTTTTCAGCCTCGGAGGTTGTCACTTGGTACCCCCATGAGTCTCCTCTAAACTTGAGAAGGCTTGTGCCTCCAGTAAATGTTTTGTTCCTTTCAGTGAATATACTCCTTCAGATTAAAGCTGTATCTTTGTCTTTTTAAGGAAAAGGACACCCAGTCTGTTAAAGAATGAGTCACTGAACATGTACAGATACAAAACACATTAAAACGGGATTGTTGTAGAACTCTAAATGCTGACTCTACCAGTATTAGTCTGTGCACATCAGATAATTAGTAATAATAACTGTAAAATAAGAAACCGAAGTATATCAGTGTGTGATTCCTTAATTCACATATTGTCATAGTTTTCAAATAGCCTATTTACTTCGACAGCATCAGTGAATTCTGAAATTTAGTCATGACTTTGGGTTTTGGTGTGCCACCTAAGATTTTGAGTGGTCACCCCTATCAGGGCACATCTGACTAGAAATACATGACAGTAGCGGAATGTGAAATCCAGAGCTGAAACAACTAGGCGATCGATCAAGAAAATTAATTGGCAACAATTTTGACTCTCAATTAGTCATTTAAACCTCATTTATGCCCCTTTCTCTTACACTGCCGACCAGAAGGTGACGCTGATGAACAATTTCACTTTTTGATCACTAAAGATGAAAGAGAGTGTAAACACGCTGCCTTCATGTCTGTTGTCTGTTAATAGCTCCGTGCGTGTGTGTGGCCCTGAGGCCAGGTTGTGTAACAGTAATGGTTGTTTTCAGACGTTGACAGTTGCGGGTCAGCTTTGTGTGTGTGTGTGTGTGTGTGTGTGTGTGTGTGTGTGTGACAGAGATGGATAAAAAGCGTCATTTGTCTGAGGACAGTTAGTATGGGTATGCGTTTGTGTGTGTTGCTTGTATCTTTGTGAGGACCAGTGTGTGTGTTTGACCTTCACACTGATGACTCCTCGACACCTCTTCAGACAGAAGCAGCGACTCATTTCTGGCCATTTGTATTCAACTGTAATATGCCGACTACTGTTAATTAAACTCTGTGAACTTCAACCTAAAAGCGAGGCGTCACATCTGTAGCATCATGACGTCATCATCTGTTCATGTCTATAATTTTTACACAGTGGGCAAAGTGATGTTATCGTCATGAATCGTAAATGTATCTGAATCTGAAGCCACAGAGAACGTGAGAGGAAACACCTGCTGTGCACAGCAGAGATACGACAGTCCTCACGAGAATACTGAAACGACCTCTGTGTGAGGGAGAGGTCAGAGCTGATGACCCTGTCAGCCAGAGTTTCATCAGCATCAGGACTGAATCATTTGACACAACAGCTGGAAACACAGAGATGCTCGTCCTCTTGCAGCCTCAGTCTCACGCACACTTCACTGCCACACTGACTGAAGGACGTGTTCATGAAAGACAAAACACATTTCAGTTTAATCACAAAGTTTCACATCAAAATAAAAACTCGTCCTCGTCATCATCCACCTGAATATTACTATCTGATCTGCTGAAAGTGAGCTGTCTGAGTTTTGTCACGGTCATGTCCCGCTGCCACATTTTCTTTACACATTGTCAGTCAAACAGGGTCTGACACATGCAAAAAAGGCAGAAAATCAAACCTGGTCCAAAACTTTTTATGATGGACGAAAGTTTTGGACTCAGTGTGCAAACGTGATTTACACACCATGAGGTCGTGTGACAATTTCGTACGAAAAAAACGGACACAATGTGCAAAGTCTCTTAGTCAGATCCAGCCCTGGCTCCTCCACAGATCCACACTCGTCCAAATAGGGTCACTGAGTTCCCAAGTGTCACTGCTCAAACCAGATTTCTGTAACACATGGTTCATCACAAGTGCTTTATAAATTCGAACGAAATGGAGGACGGGCAGGAACTATAAATTACAAATGAAAGTACAAATTCAAGAAAATGGACCCAAACAAAGTTTTAAAATTATTTTCAACGTCTTCTTGTGTGTGGTACACATTAGTCTCCTACAAACAGGGAGGAGATACTTTATAATCTGCGGCCATTTCTAAGAACATCTAAACATACTCACATACTTTTAGGAAACACCTCTTGAGATTACAAAGGTTAAGAAAACATGTTTGTCTTCAAGATGTTTATGGGAGAGGGGCCCTATCAGTGTTTGAGTGTGTGTGTGTGTGTTATGAGAATGACACTGACATCACTGATATCTGAGGACGTGTCATTACAGCTGCTCTCTACACGTCACACACACACGGTCAAAACACGTCTTGAGTTGTTCTCCCTCAGACTGAGGGTGTAACCCACCTCTGGGATTTAGCTCCTGGCTGCTGCTCTCACATTCACATCATTTGAACTTTAACCCCGTTTAATACTGAGCTGATCACAGCTGGTCGAGACGCCTCAACATGAACAAAGCCATAAAGTGTTTTCAACATAAGAAGTCAGCCACATAGTATGATTAAAATATGAAGCCAACAGTTTATTAAACATGATGTGAACCTAATGTGTGATTTTTTTAATGTATGAATGTACTAATAAGATATTTGATGTCTGTGTGAACAGAAGGAGCTGTGTAATATGATCCTGGACTGCTGCGCTCAACAGAGGACCTACGAGAAGTTCTTTGGTCTGCTGGCCGGGGTGAGACAAAACAAAAATCTCTCTTCTCTCTTGTGGTTTCTATCAAGTCAGATGGGTTTTGGTTTTATGTATCCAGGTTTTGAGATATCTTTCTCTCAGATTTTTGCTTCCACATCGACACAAAGGAGGTGAATGAAAATTAGTTTGTGGTGCTCATTGTATGAAAAAAGCACACTAAGAAAATTCAGCAGCTCTTTGCAGATGCAGTTTCTCTGTTACTTCATTAGCACTATTTGGCACATTTGAGCGCTATAAAAAACACCGAAAACCATTGATTTTTTTTCCCCAATGGACCTTTTGTGAAGCCTCACCACTTTGTGATGGTCCAACAAACTGTCGGAGTAAGCTTGGAGCCCACACTGTAACTAACTGCACTCCCTGAAGAAATATGATCATATTTTTGGAGAAATGAACCAGTGATTCCAGAGAGAAGCAGACAGAGGGGTCTACAGTCTGTGTTTGAAGGATATATCCAGGATGTCAAACTGACTCAGCAGCAGCAACAGGTTAAAAAGACAAAGATAGTTTGAAGCTAAAGCCGAACTATAGGCTACAGATCACAGTGTAAAAGTGAACCACCACATCACTGCTGATCGCCACACAAGACAATGAATATAAAGGAAAAATCACAGTGTGTGCAGATGAACAGTGTTTGGCCTCCAGCACCCAGACCTCTGCCTCCGGACGGGCAGGGATATCCAGGGGAAGTCAAACAGCTGGTTGAATATTAGCAAAGTTTCTCTGCTTCCCTTCACTGGTTCCTGTACAGCAGGGTCGGTCTTTGTTTCACTGTTATAATCATTAAAAAGCAAAAGCAGCATGTGTATACATTCAGTAAGCTGTATCTTCAGTAGCTAGCTAGCTAACCCTACACTTTTCAGGGTTTGATTTTGGTTTTGGAACAGGGAGTAAACGTGTATCATTTTCAAAAGTGAACACAAACAGCAACAACACTCTCAAAACCCAACTGTTTCCAGCCTCATGCATTTCACTTCGATATTTTTGTGTTGAGGACATCAAAAGTTGCCATTCAAACCTTTTTTTTTTTAAATTATTATTATTCACACATTCTAAAAGAAGCATGGTGGCCCGACTTTAATGGGAGAAATGGAACACTTGGAGTGTAACCAGTGCCTTGAAGCTGGGCTTATGTGGGGCTGCCAGGTGGAGCTGCAGTATGAACACACATTCAGGACTGCAGGAGAATTAATTCATATTTCTCTGTTTGAACCTCCTAATGGTAATGATGCTTGTTATGATTGGACTAATGGCTGGTTAATGTAATGTATTATTTCCATTCTCCTCGGCATTGTGAAAATTGAGTGATGAAAACATAAAGTAGACGACAGGCAGCTACATTAGCTTGAGTCTTGAGTCACGACAATCCTGTGAATATTTTGACTATATGCGCACCTGCCACAGTTTACAGGGCAGTCGTGACTCCAGATATTTCTGTACTGGCTCTGACTATCACAGAGAACTTTAATGTCAGAAGAGAAACAGACTGAAGACTCCACGCTCTGATCTGAGCTGTCGGTTTGTGTTTTTCATCTCTGGTTGTGAGAGGAGAAACTACGGGAGCTGAGTGGTCAGTGTTTAGTCTGTTCCACGAGTTCATCAGCAGTCTGCAGACATCAGACTGAGATCCTGTTCAGACACAAACAGCAGAAGCAAATTAGTGTGCAGACTGTTTTTTTTAACTCCAGTGCTGGTGAAAATGATTAAACTGGATGTCTGTGCTCTACTTCGTCAAAGCTTCTGGTACAGACGATCCATAGCTGTCTCTCTTGCATCTATACGTAACATAAGTGACTTTGATTTGCCGTTCAGTCTGTGAGAACATCTGAAGCACTGCTGAACTGCATCGAACTGTGTGTGTGTGTGTGTCTGTCTGTCTTTGTGTGTGTAGAGGTTCTGTCTGCTGAAGAAAGAGTACATGGAGAGTTTTGAGGGGATCTTCGCAGAGCAGTACGACACAATTCACCGTCTGGAGACCAACAAACTGAGGAACGTGGCTCGACTGTTTGCTCACCTGCTCTACACAGACTCTGTACCCTGGAGTGTAAGAACATGCACACACACACACACACACACACACACACACAAAACCTTTAAATCCACTCCAGTCTGACTAACCTCAGATTTAACTCACTCAGGGCTGATTGTTCTCTTGATTGATTTTCCTCATAAATCATGGTACTCTCCATCTGTCTTTATCTCTGTCTTTCTGTGTGTGTGTGTGTGTGTGTGTGTGTGTGTGTGTCTGTGTCTGTGTCTGTGTCTGTGGTGAATGTCTCTCAACCACCAGGTGTTGGAGTGTATCAGGATGAGTGAGGAGACGACAACATCGTCCAGCAGGATCTTTGTGAAGATCCTTTTCCAGGAGCTCTGTGCCTACATGGGCCTCCCCAGACTCAACCAGAGGCTCAAAGACCCGTATGTACACACAAACACACACACACACACACACACACACACACACACACACACACACACACATACATACATAGTCTGAAACATGAGGTTGTCTGTCCCTATTCAATGATAAATGAGTCTCTAATGCTGTGATGGACGGAAAGATATTTATTATGAACATGATTATTTTAGGGAAACAGTTCTGAGGACTAGTTAGAAAGGAAATTTAGAGAAAAAGAATAATGAAAGAAAATGTGAGTGTCTGCTGGTCTCTGCTGTTAACTGGCTTTTGGTCAACTTAGTGGTTGGAGGTGTAAAAGTAAGAAGAAACAACACTGTCTGATGATTTGAGAGTGTGTTCAGTGGGTAACTGAAGAGTGAAACACAAACATATTTAGATAACTAAGTGTAATTGTGTGTGTGTGTGTGTGTGTGTGTGTGTGTGTGTGTTTCAGGACTCTGCAGTCATTCTTTGAAGGTCTTTTTCCTCGTGATAATCCCAGAAACACTCGCTTCGCCATCAACTTCTTCACCTCTATTGGACTGGGAGGACTGACGTAAGTGACAGAAACTTTTACTCTCCTCCCTGCAATATTGTTGCCTTTATTGAAGAAAAGACGCTAACAAAGTTCTGCTAATTCCGTAATAATACTTTTAATTTCCTGTAGATTCTTCACAATAAAAGTCCCCTGTTATTTTATTATGTAAATTTTTATTATTGTGAAGCACCAAATTAAGGAAATGTTGAGTTTTTAAGCAGCAACTTCACACAACTTCTAATACGGCTGATAGCAAACATGAAACTGTAAAACTGGCTTGGCGTGGCACGCGCATCTAAACTGACAATGGAAACATAAATTGGCGCGGTGTGGCTTTATTTGACGTGGTCAAGAGACAATGGAAAAAGGATAATAGGGACCAACACATAATAACCCTCCCTTCCTATTTACAGAAGAAGAATAAACGGGAAAACATCAGATCTAAAATTGTGTAGAGTTAATTGCAGTTAATTGATAGTATCTTTGTGAAATTGTAATATGAATTTCTTTACATTTATTACAAAAATAATCTCTCCAAACAATCACATGAATGTTGTTTACACACAAACATCTCACAATTACAATTCTCTTACTCTCAGGGACGATTTGAGGGAACATTTAAAGAACGCTCCCAAGATGATCATGACTCAGAACCAGGAAGTGGAATCCTCCGACTCCTCCTCGTCCTCATCGTCATCTTCCTCCTCATCTGACTCCTCTTCCTCAGACTCCTCCAGCGAATCAGATTCTTCAGACTCCTCGTCCAGCAGCAGCAGCAGCTCAGGTACATCTGTTATTTTATGATAAACTGTGTTTTTCTTAAAACACTTCAAACAAAAGGAGGAAATTCATATTTTATTATCCTCCCTCTCATCTTTCAGACTCGGACAGCAAACACAGGAAGAAGAAGAAGAGAAAAGAACAAACCACCGAGAAGAAGAAGAAGAAAGGAGAGGAGACGAAGAAGAAAAAGGACAAACAGTCGGACAAGAAGCGAGCTGGACGCAAGAATGACAGTGAGGACAATGATGACAGTGATGACGAGAAGCACGCGAGGAAGGACAGGAAAGGTCGTGCACGTGAGGTGGAGGGGCGTCAGCGTGCACGTGATGCCGAGGAGCACGAGCGTGCACGTGACGGCCCTCACCGGAGCAGACGAGACGAAAGGGAAGAAGAAGAGATGAGGCAGCAGGAGGAGAGGAGACGGAAAATGGACGTTCAGGGCCGACAAAGAGACGCAGACAGGGACAGAGACAGAGACGCAGACAGAGACAGAGACGCAGACAGAGACAGAGACAGAGGGAGGGATCGAGAGAGGGAACGAGGAAGGGACAGAGAGACGGAGGAGAAGAGAGACCGAGACGGAGAGAGGGAACGACGAAGGGACAGAGAGACGGAGGAGAAGAGGGACAGAGACGGAGAGAGGGAACGAGGAAGGGACAGAGAGACAGAGGAGAAGAGAGACAGAGACGGAGAGAGGGAACGAGGAAGGGGCAGAGAGACGGAGGAGAAGAGGGACAGAGAGCGAGAGAAGCCGAGGGACAGAGAGAGGAACAAAGAGAACAGAGACAGGAACAGAGAGCGAGAGGAGAGGAGGAGGAGGTAAAACTTTTCATCCCTCGTGCAGCAGCAGCAGTGATGGACTGATGACTGACAGACAAGTGAAGTCTCCGTCTTCTCCTCCTGTCCGTCATCCCTCGCTTCTTTACCTCATCCTGTCAGTCACTGCTGTTTTGGATTTGGGACCTGTTTCTCTCCGTCTCTCCTTCTTCTCCTGTCTCTCCGTCTCAATCCGTCTCTCTCTGTATTTTGTATTAATGATTTTTGTTGTTGATAAAATGCAAAAAAAAAAAATTAAAGTTGATTTAGATGTTTTGTAAACTGGGTTTGTTTCAACTGTTTCCAGCTCCTGACCAAGGTTTTATTTTACTGTGCAGTCAGAAGAAGCTCCTGTCGGTCAACGACTGTTGTCACCAGAAAAACAATTTGTCCCTTAAATTTTTTTAGTTGTCACCATTACGGTTTGTTTTTTAAGTTGGATTTTATAAGCTCTTCAAAAGCCCTGTTTCCACCAAACAGTTCAGTTTGGTACGTTTTTTTTCTCCATTTCCACTGCTAAAAGTTGTGGATGGTACCAATGGAACTGTTACATACCGTCCCCATGTTTGGTCCCCCCTCTGTTGGGGTACCTAGCACACAGATCTGGTACTAAAAGGTGGAGCTGTGAACACTGCAGTCTGATTGGTCAATAGGGACGGTCACTCTGCTCAGGGCTGAGTTGTGTCTGGTTTTGAGGCTCATGTAACCACTGTTCATACTGTGGAGAGTTTTATTAGTAAGCTGTAACTATAAAATGAAAGGATGTTTTGCTGCCTCTCACAGCAGCTGGAGTCTGAGAAAAAATAACTTAATTCACTGGGCCGACTGCTGGTAACTTTTAGGTGCAATGTTAACTTGTAGTGTTATTCAGTGTGTGAGTTCACGATGTGAATCAATCGACACACCTTCAATTTCAATGTGACAACTTTGACCAGATTATGTGAACTGCATATGTTCTAATCCTCGCTCGAAGAAAAAAAATGGTCACAGAGCGTCGTTCCTGTGAGCTCCGGCAACACTAAACCCCTGAGCTTGCCTGAGAAGGACTGAATGCACAAACCCGCTATTTTTAAATATCCCATGGAGAGAGACTCTCACTGCAGCCTGTTCTATTTTGTTCTGAATATGTCGGGGTGCAGCCTCGTTCTGTGGACGATAAACGAGGTGCAGACTGATAAAGGAGGAAACACTGAGTGCTGGACGGAGCAGTGAGTGACAACAACCCTGCCCGCATTTAAGGGTACTGTTTGCAGTGGAAACGCTAGGGTCTAGGTACCATGTGAGAAGGGTTACTGTTGGTTCCAAAGGTACCATACTGAAAATGTTTGGTGGAAACTGGGCTGAAGGTACTCAAGTGTCTCATTGTCTGGTTTCCCATATTTTTGAAAGAGATCACACCTAATACTTCTGAAAAGTGTCCGAAGAAAAGCACAAGAAAAGTGACTTTGCTCCAGGTTTCAAAAGATTAATCGGTATCTGGACTACTTCCTTACCAGAACCAATAGCTTACTTTGGACAAAGCCAGGCTAGCTGTTCCCCCCTGTTTTCAGTGTTTATGCTAAGCTAAGCTAACTCTCTAACTGTACAGACATTATAGTGTTATCAAACTTCTCGTTTAACTCTCAGCAACATGGGCAAATAAAAACTATTTCTTCAAGAGTACTATAAAAGCTCTGATGTCAACACACTGAAACTCACTTCAATGGCAGAACTGTAGTATTAAAGCAAATGTGACGACACAATCCACTGATAGAAAACCAGCAGCATCAACATAACCAGGCATCCACAGGTAAACACCAGCTGAGCCTCTGAGCACCACAGGTATGTCCAGGTGTGTCCCAGCTCACACAGCCTCATCACTTTCAGGTTTCACCACTCCAAAACTGAAAACTATAGGTTTGTTTGCAGCAGTATTTTTGTTGGCAGTAAACAGTCCCGTCTGGTGGTGTCAGTTCACATGTGTTGATGTCTGCACTTCACTGACTCATTTCTTCAACAGGACCAACAATGTTTCCAATGTCTGACCTTTTCCTGTCACGCAGCACCTGCCTGGTTTCTCCAGATTATCTCTCGCTCTGACAGGATGTTGTGTCACACTCTCCAGCTGTCGAGGGCGCTTCACATCACAGAGGAGGAGATTAATAAACAGGTAAACTGTGAGACATCCAACGCCATAAGCAGGAAACATCACCTCACTGTGGGTGCTGACAGATGGAGAGGTGTAGTGGTAGTCAGTGAGGTAGAGGGGTGGGTTACAGAGGAGGAAGAGGGTTTACTCACCTACATATTACAATGGGTTTTTGTCCGATAGGTGGATATACCTGTGTGTATCCTCCACTACCTCCCTGGACAGATGTCTTGCTCACTCACCTGTTGTGTGAAGAATAAATGTAAAGCACATACTATAAAAAAAGATGACTTGTTTTTATCGTTTTGAGGCACGTGTACTTTATACTTACACTCCATTTTGAAACTAATGTAAAGCCAGTGACTCAGACATCCTTGTATCCTGGGGCAGGTCGTTCCAGAGCCTCCAGGCCCTGATTGACAGGCTCTGTCCCCTTTAGTCTTCAGTCTGGACTCTGGGACATGCAGAGGACCTCTGTCCTAGGTCTGAAATGTAATCTGGAGCCATGACAAACCTTTAAAGTAATTAATAAACTTTTGAAGTCAGTCCTAAAACAAACTGGGAGCCAATGTAAAGAGGCAAAACTGGCGTGATGTGGTCATGTATCTTGGTTTTGGTTAAAAGCCCTGTGGTTGAGTTCTGAAAGGTCTGAAGGCGTTGCAAGGTTTTTTGATTAAAGGGATAGTGCACCCAAAAATGAAAATTCAGCCATTATCTACTCACCCATATGCCTAGGGAGGCTCAGGTGAAGTTTTAGAGTCCTCACAACACTTGCGGAGATCCAAGGGGAGAGGAGGTAGCAACACAACTGCACCTAATGGAGGCTTATGGTGCCCCAGATTCAAACATCCAAAAAACACATAATTGAAACCACAGAATATGTGTCCTGAAGCCCCGACGTAAAAAGTTGTTTGGAAAAACATCATTTGAAATCTGTTTTTAGCCTCATTGTAGCCTGTAGCTCTCATTAGGCCTGTTTCCACCGCAGGAACTTCGTGGTAAATTTACAGGGCTGGGGCCGTTGGTGCGTGTCTCCACCGCAGGAACCACCCCCGAAGGACAGAGTTCCAGAACTTTTACAGGGGCTAAACAAGTCCCTGCCTCGGAGTAGGTACTCAGAACGGCCCCGAGAAACTCCTGGCTGGGACTTGAGGATTACTTGGTGCTGATTGGATATACTCAAGGCGGGATGTGACGTTTTGTAATTACTATGGTTATCGTAGATTAGCTGGGCTAACCGTTAGTTGTTAGCCATTAGCAGTGTCTGTAATAACTCAGTATCTCAATATACAGTCCGTGAAAATTTTTTTTTTTCCAGCGGATATCTTAGTTACAACATGATTGAGCTAGCAAAGCAGTTTTGTGTTGCTATGTGTGGTATTTATTCAGTTTTGGGAAATCACGATGTCTAGAAAGCATCAGTGGCTGCAGCTGACAGGGACAGCTAACAGCAGCAGCAAAGCTAACATCAGGACGCCATCTGTTAAAAGCCTCCCGTTGTCGGATACGACATGAAACTACTCCAGTTCGCTCAATCATGTTGTAACTAAGACATCTGCTGGAAAAAATATTTTTATTGAGTTATTGAGTTAATACAGACACCGCTAACGGCTAACAACGAACAGCTAACTACATCCCTACGTCGCCCCGGTCAAAATGGTCGCGTAACTTTACAGGAACCTTCCTCCTCCGCTCTCTCAGTGGAGACATGGCGGTTGAGAAGGCCGAGCGAGAGGACGTTCATATAGTAACCTCCCAGATAGTACCAGGAACTTCTTCAGTGGAAATGGGCCTAGTACCTCTCTGTGCACCGCGCTCAGGTGTGCGCGCAGTGGACTCTGGAATTTTAATTTTTGGGTGCACTATCCCTTTAAGACAGGAATAAAATCTAGACATGAAGAGATAAAAGCATGTTTAAACATTTCTGTATCTCTAAAAGTTCAAATAGATCTTATATTAGTGTTGTTTCTGGAGTGATAAAAGCAGAATTGGACGAGCTCAGTGACATGATGTTCAAGACATAAATAACTATCAAACATGACACCAAGATTTCATGCAACACGCTTCAAGAGAGACAATCAGCGCCTGTTTTTAATCAGGAAGCTGAAGAGCTTCGGTGTTAGCCTGCACATACTTAAAATAGCATACAGAAGTTTTGAGTGCAATTTGAGTGCAAGGAGCAAAAACAAGCTCTCCAGGAGTGTCAGCTTTGCAGGAAAGGTGATTGGCAAGTCACAGAAACAGCTGAGCGATATATTTGACAGTGCTGTACGCAGGAGGGTGAAAGACATAATTGCTGATGCCTCACATCCATTAACACTCACAGTTTGAGCTGCTCCTGCCTCGGCATTGATTTAAGGTCCCAAGAACCAGTTGGAACGTATATCCTCCTGAGACCAAGCGTTTGTTTGGTGTGCATTTGTAATTTCTCTTAGCTCTTTGGGACTAAAAGGACCTGATAAGTATAAAAACTAAACATTGTCAATGATGATTAAACTCCAATGTCCTGGTCTGGTTATAGAGCAGTTACTTTTTTTGTAGAGGTTCTTCGGATGTATAAAAGCAGGCTGTTGGCTACCTCAAACCAGGAGTCCGTTTCTTGCTAACTGTTTTTTTTATCATAACCATTAGTGCACTGGTTTTACTGGAGAGGCTCCCAGCACTGTTTCTCCCTCACACACACACACACACACACAACACTGTATCCTTGTACAACCTTGATGTGTTGTTCAAGGTGAGAGGGGCGTGTGTGTGTGTGTGTGTGTGTGTGTGTAAGTGGGTCGTTGCAGTGCTGGACTGTGATTGGCTGGGTGTCCCGAGGAGCAGAGGAACTGGATTGGTTTGCTGCGGCAGCAAATGGAGGAACAGATCCACTGGGACCTGGGAGCTGCAAGGAACTCTGGGAAACCACAGAGAGGCCCTCTGCTCAGAGAGAGGAGAGAGAAAGAGAGGGGTGGAGGTGAGAAACAGAGGAGTGGAAAGTGGAAAAATTAACACAGGATACAGTCAGAGAGCTGTGGAGGATCACTGAGTCTTTCTCCATCTTTTATATTTATTATAGAACTCAAAGTTTCCAAACATGTCAAATATGTCACGCTGGATTTTGGGGAAACGTTTACAAAATGATAAAAGAGTTGCTGGGTTTGAATATTTGACTCGACGCACAGTGCTGTTTGTGTGTATGATAATGTCAGTGAAGAAATGCTTTTAAACCTGCTGTAACTGGGGTTTTTTTGGCCACTTGGGGGCAGCAGAAACAAGCTGTGAACACAACACTGACATATTATCACCTTTAAACAGTTCATATGTTGAACTTGTTAGCAGACGGTTGCTTATTAACATATGTAACAGTTATTGAGCAACATAATCATTCATTAGGATTCATGTTTGTATCCACATGATGAGTTTTAGTCCAGTAAGGTTATTCTGATTCTCAGAGGAATCAGACATATCACACTGTGGATCCACAGACGATACTTGTTTGTAGATTAATTAATAATTCATTGTTTGTTTTAGTCTCTTCATGGGATTTCTTGACAGTAAGACAAATACAGAATATCACCAGACTTATCTGTGTAGAGAAAATTTGGACTTTAAGAGAGCTGGCTCAGTTCCAGGAGTTCCCATCATGCTTTGAGTTTGTTGGGAGGTCGACAACATTTCTGAGCTTCAGAGGGAGACAGACAGACAGGAGCGTCTCTCTCAGAGCAGCAGTGTGGAATGTCTCAGCTCTCTGACATCACTTTACCTGCCTGCTTGTCTGTCTGTCTGTCTGTCTGTCTGCCTGTCCATGTCTCCCAAAAAGACGCTTTTCAGCATCAGTCAAAGGCGGTAAAGAACAGAAACCATAAGTGTTGTTAGTGAATAACAAAGTAAGTGAACACCACAGTTTACTTCAGCTTTGTACTCTTATAGCCTGATAATCAACTCCATAAGATACAAAAAAACTTTATTTATCCAGAGGTAAATTACTTTGCAGAATATATTATTTGCTCGACTGATATAAAAATATAAGAATAGCATTCAAATATTTACTTTTTTTGTAAAAACCTCTGACATTATCTCAAAGAAACAACAAAAACATATTCTGTAGAAAGCATTTAGAATAAAGTATAAAAATTAGATAAGCAAAATAAAATTAAATGCAGCAAAAAGAAAAATGTTTTGCCAAAAAAAAAACCCATGTATTTCTTCAGGCTAAAAGTATCAATGAGCTGCAATAATCCAACAAACTATTTCCATTGTTTCTGTTTTTGTTCACTGAGCTTCACTTGTTTCAGATACATCAGTTGACATGAGTACTTTTACTTTTAGTACTTTAAAGGAGCAGTGTTGGATTAAGTTGCATCTAGCAGTGAGGATTACAGATTGTAACCAGCTGAAACTTCTCCTGGTTAGAATTCCTTCAGTGTTCATGTTCAGGAGGTTTTTACGAGGAGCTGAATCACCCACAGGTCTCCTCCTCTCAAAGACAAACAAACCAGTTGATAAAACCAGTAAAACATTGAAAAAAGCACCTTCAAGTTAATAATCAGTGTTTCTCTGACACTGTTCAGCATGTTGCAGACGGGCTGCTAGCGCAGCGCCTGCTAATGTGTGCTCACTGTTTTCCTCTGATAACTTCAGATCCAGGGACCAGTTGCAAAAAACACCTTAAGTTTTCTCCTTAAGTATGACATTTAAAGCTTATTTTCTCCTTGCACAGTAGCACAGATTCCCTTAAAAGGAAAAATGTTAACTCATTTACTGTGTTGAAAGAGATTTTACAGTGGTACAAGTTTCCATTGTGATGTCATCTCACAAGGTTGGCTTATAGTTAGATAGTGAAAAAATGACAGAAGAAAAGAAGACAAGAAAACCATACTGGTCAGAGGAGAAAATGATTATACTTAAGGAGCAATGCAACCACAGAAAGCACAAAGTACAAAGTAAATCTGATCCCCAAATATCAGAAAACAATTGTAGGAAGAAATCCCAATGAAAATGGATTCAGTCAAATATAAAATGTAAAATCAAAAGCGTATCCACTGGTTGCAGAACACTCTTCTCAGGGTGTTAGTTTTTTTTTTCCATTTATCACCATAAATGCAGTCATGTTGTCGTTAAGATAAAGTCAGAGGTACTTTAAGTTTTTCCCCCCTTGCTTTAATTGCTAAGGTCTTTTGTGCAACAGTCCTTGGAGTCCGTAAGTATAAGACCAAGACAGGGGGAAAGTGTGCCAAGAAAATCTCCCCCACACCATTACACCACCAGCAGCAGCCTGAACCGTTGATACAAGGCAGGATGGATCCATACTTTCATGTTGTTTACACCAAATTCTGACCCTACCGTCTGAATGTGGCAGCAGAAATCCAGACTCATCAGACCAGGCAACGTTTTTCCAATCTTCTATTGTCCAGTTTTGGTGAGCCTGTGTGAACTGTAGCCTCAGTTTCCTGTTGTTAGCTGACAGGAGTGGCACCTGGTGTGGTCTTCTGCTGCTGTAGCCCATCTGCTTCAAGGTTGGACGTGTTGTTGGTTCAGAGATGGTCTTCTGCAGACCTTGATTGTAACCAGTGGTTATTTGAGTTCCTGTTGCCTTTCTATCATCTTGAACCAGTCTGGCCATTCTCCTCTGACCTCTGGCATCAACAAGGCATTTTCTCACTGGATATTTTCTCTTTTTCAGACCATCCTCTGTAAACCCTAGAGATGGTTGTGTGTGAAAATCCCAGTAGATCAGCAGTTTCTGGCACCAACAACCATGCCACGTTCAAAGTCATTTAAATCCCCTTTCTTCCCCATTCTGATGCTTGGTTTGAACTTCAGCAGGTCGTCTTGACCATGTCTACATGCCTAAATGCACTGAGTTGCTGCCATGTGATTGGTTGATTAGATATTTGCATTAACAAGCAGTTGAACAGGTGTACCTAATAAAGAGGCCGGTGAGTGTATATTCCAACATATCCCCCTGAATCCTGCACACTGGACCTTTAAATAAAAGATCTGAGTACTTCTTCCACTTTTGTTTAAAACCAACTTTTCAGGGGCATTAAGTCCTAAAGTTTCAGCTCTGGCTGGAGGATCCTTTAACCTGACACCCGCTGACGTCACGAACAGGTGAGTTGACAGTAAAAACACACAGAGGGAGATACAGAGACAGGTAGAGACCTCTGCTGAGAACAATACCTGTGCTGCAGCCAGGACCGTTTTAAAATAGATTTTATCCACTTTTATTTGCCAACAACAAACCTGGAAACGAGTCAACCAGAACCTGCTGCTCACACACACACACACACACACACACACACACACACACACACACACACACACACACACACGGAGGTCAGAAGCTGATTTCAGATAATTTATTCCTTCAAAAATCCACCCAATTATTTTATTTTTATTGGATGCATGATAATCCTCCCTCTCTCTGGCTCTCTCCCTCTCCGTGTGTTGTGTTGTGTGGCGCATGCGCAGTGCCGCCGCTCCTCTCTCGGTGCGGCGCAGAGCGCGCGGCTCTCCGCTGCTCCGCCAGAGTTGCTGATCAGTGTCCGGGATACCTGATGGATGGATGGACGATCGATGGACTGATCAATCAAAACCACCCGCGCGGACTCTCAGTCTGGAGACGCACAGACAGACACGCGCTCAGTATTGATTATTGATTAATGATTTGCTGCTGATAGTGTGTGTGTGTGAGTGTGTGTGTGAGCGGAGTTCAGCGCTTCAAACCTACGGGACTCTACTTTCTGCATCCATCACCTCCTCCTCCGGTAAGTCACCTTCCTCCTCCTCCTCTTCTTCTGTCTCTTTCCCTCCTTTTATTCCTCCTCCTCTTCTTCTTCTTTTAACTCTTCTCTGTTAGTTGAAGGTTATAAAACGGAGGCTTTGAACACGACTGTACCGGAGACCGTCTGTCCGGTGCTTTCAGTCCGGATCACTTTCTGTCTGTCTCACTTTTACATGTCCGCCTTCCTCTCTGTCTCTTACAGACATGTCTGTTTTTTTATTTTGAAGTAAGGAAATACTGATTTTGAGTAAAAAGTACAACATATACACTGTATATATTTAGAAATGTGGACTAGTAAAGTAAAAATATAAAGTGCAACGGAAACAATCAAGTAAAATTGTACTTAAACAGTGGCAGAAGAAGTATGAAGATCTGCTGCTCAAGTAAAAGTTGTAAATGAAACTCTAGTAAAAAGCGTAAAATGGAAATAATCAATTACAGAACCTTAAAATTGTGCTTAAACAGCAGTGGAAGATTTATTCAGACCTGCAACTTAAGCAAAAACACTTCATTAAAATGTGTAATATTTCTTGTGAACTGATTTGTTTGTGTATGAATCTGTAAAGTCACCAGTAACTACAGCTGTCAGATAAATGTGGTAAAGTAAAAGTAGTTTTTTAAATCTGTACTTGAACAGTGTCAGAGGGAAGTGTTCAGATCTGCTACTGATGCTAAAATACTTCATTGAAATGTGTAATATATCATATGAACTGATTTGTCTGTAAAGTCACCTGTAATTACAGCTGTCAGATAGGGGTGGGAATCACCAGAGGACCCACGATATTATCACAATACTTGTCACGATATGATGATATTATTGCGATATGCTGAGTATTGCGATGCAATATATACACAATACAACACAATACAATATATTGTTTTTTTACTAAAAGAAAAAAGCAGACAAAACCAAGCAAGAGGGTCCTGGTTCCTGGTGCCTAACGGGCATGTAGCTACTTCCATGTTTCAGATGATACGTCATGTTTGTAGTCGACCAATGAAGATGAGTTTACATATCACCTTGGGTTTGTCCTTCACCTTCTCAAAATGATCCCACACTTTGGATTTCCTGCCCGACATGTTATTAACTAGCCTGTGGAATAACCGCAGGTACCGCAGGATGCGATACTTCTAGATGCGCATCTAAACAGGCTGATGGAAACATGGCTAATGACATCTTACTGACTAACGACCTTCCTGGTTGACTAAGGTTTGGTCGACTATTCGGGGGCAGCCCCACTACAAGTGTTTCTGTTTTCCTTTCATTGGGTTCTGAGGTAGTATTTATTCTTCTTTTGTGCCTGTATACGCACTTTTATTGATTTATTGTAATTTTCTCCAACTTTAAATGTGAATGTGTTTCATTCTTAAAGCAGTTTGAATCCAGCAGACTAACAAGCTGTGGCCGAGAGTTGGTTTGATCTGCCGTCTTTAATTATTTACATCAAAAAATTAAAATGACTGTAATCAGATATACAATATATATATATATATATATATATATAACTGATTCCTGTAAAAACTGAGAGCTGAAGGAGAGAGCAGACAGACAGACAGACAGACAGTATAATCTTGTGTGTATTGAACATGCTTCATTATTGTCAGATAATCCCTTACAAAGCCTACAGACACACACATACACACACACACACATGCACATACACAGCTGTCCTCTTTCTCTCTCTGTCACGGAGATGTTGTTAATTTTCACATAGGTGACAGTATGACAGGTTCTCTCTCTCTCTCTCTCTCTCTCTCTCTCTCTCTCTCTCTCTCTCTCTCTCTCTTTCTCTCTCTCTCTCTCTCTCTCATGTGTGTGTGTGTGTGTGTGTGTGTGTGTCTGATAATGACACCTGATCAGCTGGACTGTAGTGCCCACTGCAGCTCACAGACCTGAAAACTGATCTTTCACCTCCTCTTTTGCTTTTATACTTCCTCTCATTTCCTTACCTCCTCCCTTCATCCTCCATCCTCTTTCCTTACCTCCTCCCTTCCCTTCCTCCCTTCATACTTTATCCTTTACCGCCATATTTTCCTCCCTGCCTCCATTTTTTCTGCTTTTCCTTTGTGACCTGGAAACTGAATTCAGTGCTGCCACCTCTCCAGCCGTCCCGTATGAAATAAAAAGACCTCCATCCTTTCATTCCTTCACTCCTTCCTCCTTCACTCTTTCCTAGCAGCAGAGCTTTCCTCTCAGTGTGTCTCTTCCTGCAGCTGTTTGTTTGGACCCTCAGCCTGTGTGTGTCTCAGGCCTCTGTGAGTCTAATTAACACTAATCAACTTAATTAAAGCAGAAGTTTTCTGTTTAAGACAGAAGAGGGAAGCTGATAGAGTGAGGACGAGGAGCAGCAGGGAGACACTGACGCTGAGCCCAACGTCCAATCAGAAACCACAGCAATGCTGTTAGTCAGTACTAACCTGCTTTTGGACTGTACTGACCGACTCTAGACTGTACTTCCTTTTTTTTGGTGAACAACTTTGACTGAAAAGAACATATGTACATATGACAGGTATAGTTTTATGATAAAGAAGCTTAAACTGATGTATCAGCACGGTCTCACTCAGAAGTTGTTGAATTCCAGCGCTTGGGCAGTGACTTGCGGCCCCAGAAACCAACGAAAAAGGCGTCCTTTAGCATCAGCATGATAAGCGGCTGGTTGCCGTTATAGTTTAACAGTGCTCGGTGGCGTCAGGTGGAAACGCAGCAGGACAAGGATGAAAGTTAAGGCGGCGAAAGTCCAAGTTGGGCAGGCGGGGGGCAGGCGTCCTGTAAGATTCCAGAGCCAAACCCTGTTCTTTTTTCCTAAATCCAACCATGTGCGTTAGTTGTTGAAGGGAAAAAAACGTCTCACCGTGTTTTACTGACATACTGCGTTCATTTTGAAAGACAATGCATGTAACAGGCAGAACTATACTATACTATATACTATACTATTGGGGCGGCAGTAGCTCAGTCTATAGGGACTTGGGTTGGGAACCGGAGGGTCACCTGTCATGGGCAGCCCACTCTGACATCTCTCCACTTAGTGCATGTATAGGTCCTGTTTGTGCATGTGTGTTCGGACCTGTGTGTAATTGACAAGCAAGAGTGAAAAATTGAATTTCCCCTTGGGGGTTAATAAAGTATATAAAAATTAAAATTAAATTAAATTAAAAATTATACACGGCTTCCCAGAACGTCAACAACCAATGCACCCAGGGTACCTTGCACGTTGAATCTGGACGTGGAAAGTGGTAACGTCAATATGTGACGAGATTAGAGAGAGAATGTGTTGGAGAAAGAATAGTATCAGTAACATTGTTAACACTGTGCTACATTACAGAGAAATACAAAACCGTACTAATGAACCTTCATTAATATAGGCCTATATTTTATCTACAAGTGCACGTCACACACTGAGCGAGCCGCCTGTTAATGACGCTGTGGGCTAATGGGCATGTAGCTACTTCCATGTTTCAGATGATACGTCATGTTTGTAGTCGACCAATGAAGATGAGTTTACATATCACCTTGGGTTCGTCCTTCACCTTCTCAAAATGATCCCACTCTTTGGATTTCCTGCCCGACATGTTATTAACTAGCCTGTGGAATAACCGCAGGTACCAGCCCTGGAAATTAACCTGACTCCTTTCTGACTAACTAGTGGTAAGGCTACACAAACTGGCTTTTCTAACCTGCTGGTGAACTCGATAAGGGCTGTAAGGATGTATTAATGAACTATTTGACTGCACTGAAGGTGTGTGTGAAGCTTTGAGTCGACTCTAACAGCTCAGTTTCAGTTTGCATTGTCCAGCTGTACAGTAAAGGTACATTTATCCTACTGTAACACGCTGTCTCTTGTTCTCCTCCACACAAATCAATGTTATCTATTTATAGAGCATGACCACATTACTAAACACTGCGTTTTTGTATATATGTGTGTGTGTGTGTGTGTGCCAGGACTCCAGCAGTGGGCAGATTGAGAAGCAGCATGTTGTTACGTCAGGACAGATTAGTTTGGAAACCTGCAGAGAACACACACACACACACACACACTCACAGGCAAACTGTTGTTTCTGTACTAAATCTAGCCTCGCTCTTTGTGCAGGAGTGTGTGTGTACGTGTGGAGTGACAGCAGGTATAATGAGCTCATCGTTACAACTTCATTGCCGTCCTGTTCAAAGAGCAGAGACATGACTGTGACATCAATGTTTTATTAAGATCAGCACAAAGGACACGATTTTTTTCTTTTTTTTGGGGACAGTTGGAAGATTGATACTTTAACACTCTCGTGTATCTGATTGCCATTATACTGTATATCTGCGGAAGTAAAAATGTCGGCGCAAGGTAGAGTAGGCCTACATGCTGTGGATGAAGTTTGGTGGTGTGAAGATTGAAGATTGGTGGTGTGTTTCCTCAAGCTTGGGTCCTCTACCAGAGGCCTGGGAGTTTGAGGGTTCTGCGCAGTATCTTAGCTGTTCCTAGGACTGCACTCTTCTGGACAGAGACCTCAGATGTTGTACCTGGAATCTACTGGAGCCACTCCCTCAGTTTGGGGGTCACAGCCCGAGTGCTCTGATTCCCACTGACATCTTTTCTAGCTCCTATTTCAGCCCTTGGTACTTTTCAAGCTTCTCATGTTCCTTCTTCCTGATGTTGCTGTCACTCCGGATTGCTGCATCTACCACCACTGCCTTCTTCTGTTTGTCCATCAACGATGTCCAATTGGTTAGCCACCAGCAGTTTGTCCGTCTGGATCTGGAAGTCCCACAGGATCTTAGTTCAGTCATTCTCCACCACCATAGGAGGTGTCTTCCATTTTGACCTTGGGACTTCCAGCCCATACTCAGCGCAGAAGTTCCTGTACACTATGCCAACCACTTGGTTATGGCGTTCCATGTACGCTCTTCCTGCCTGCATCTTACACTTGCTAATATGTGCTGAACTGTCTCAGGAGCACCTTTGCACAGCCTGCACCTGGGGTCCTGTCTGCTGTGGTAGA